TTTAGATCAAAGCGGGAAATGACATATACCATGGGACCTATACTTTAGATTTTATCAGTAAAATACAATTTTTAACTAGATTGGTAAAATTGAACAAGTTCAATTTAAGACTCCAGATTTATTTGACCTAGATAGATCAGTAAAGAGCTGAGTAAGTAACTGAGTACTTAGCTGAGTAAGTACCTTAGAAGTAGTTGAGTAAGTCGCTGAGTAAGTAACTGGGTAAAAAGCTGAGTAGGTAGCTGAGTAGGTAGCTGAGTAAGTACCTGAGTAAGTAGCTGAGTAAGTAGCTAAGTAAGTAATAACTAATTAAGTAATTGAGTAAGTGGTCAAATAAGTAGCTGAGTAGGTAGGGAGGTAAAGTAGGGTATGTAGGAATTTTTGAAAGTATATTTGATCAATCTGCATCGTGAATACTGGCAAGTGCGAATTTCAAACTTCAAAATGGCGTAGAATCTTAACCGGGGGTCGGATTGCAATTTTAATTTCAGATCTGGATTCCTGACAAAATTCTACCCCTAATTCATAACTCATACGTTAAATTTGGAGAACTTTTTATTTTGACCTACATTTCGATCACCATATCTCAAAAGTGGGTCAAAAAACTTCTTGACGGCAAAAAGTTAACATTATTAGCACACTCTTTGCTACATGTATACAAAATTTCGAAGAATATCATTGAAGTGTAGTGTCCGAATTGCAAAAATAAGAAAAAACTATGAATTTGACCTAGATTTTGAGCTTGGTATTTTGGTGTCCAAAATTTGAAGGAAAGTAGCTTTTGAGGTCCCCTTCTTCTATGGGCTTTCATTATGTTTTGCTGTAATCATTCTATATTTTGTATTTTTACACTTCAAAAAATTATTCGGTCCCATTGATTTAACATGGGGCACCAAATTTAGAGCTTTCAAAACGTCATAACTTCTGAACAAGATGTCTAATCGAAATTTGGCTTGCAGATTCGGATTCCTGATAAAATTCTACCCCTAATTCATAACTCATAAGTTAAATTTGAAGAATTTTTTATTTTGACCTACTTTTGGGACACCATATCTCAAAAGTGGGTCAAAATACTTCCTGACGGCAAAAGGCTAACACTATTAGCACACTCTTGGCTACATGTATACACAATTTCGAAGAATACAATTAAAGCGTAGTGTCAGAATCGCAAAAATAAGGAAAAACTTTGAATTTGACCTAGATTTTGACCTAGGCATTTTTGTGTCCAAATATTGAAACTAGGTAGCTTTTGAGGTCCCCTTCTTTTATAGGAATTCATTATCTTAAGCTGTACTCAATCTATATCTCGTAGGTAGCTGAGTAAGTAGCTGAGTAGGTAGCTGAGTAGGTAGCTAAGTAGGTAGCCGAGTAGGTAAGTAGGTAGGTAAGTAGGAATTTTTGACCGGAAGTCGGATTGAAATTTGGTTTGCAGATTTGGATTCCTGAGAAAATTCTACCCTTAATTCATAACTCATTTTATTTTGACCTACTTTACGGACACCATATCTCAAAAGTGGGTCAAAATACTCTCTGACGGCAAAAGGCTAACACTATTAGCACACTCTTTGCTACCTGTATACAAAATTTTGAAGCAAATCCTAAAAGTGTAGTGCCAGAATCGCAAAAATAAGGAAAAACTATGAATTTGACCTAGATTTTGACCTAGGCATTTTGGTGTCCAAATATTGAAACTCGGTAGCTTTTGAGGTCCCCTTCTTTTATAGGAATTCATTATCTTAAGCTGTACTCAATCTATATCTCGTATTTTACACTTCAAAAAAATCTTTTTTCCTTGACTTTCTATCAGGATAACATCAGATCGATTTTTCTCGAAATTTCAAAACGCCATAACTTTCAAACCGGAAGTCGGATCGAAATTTGATTTAAAGATTCGGATTCCTGACAAAATTCTACCCCTTATTCATAACTCATACGTTAAATTTGGGGAATTTTTATTTTGACCTACTTTTCGGACACGCCATAACTTTGGAACCGGAAGTCGGATCGAAATTTGGTTTGCAGATTCGGATTCCTGAGAAAATTCTACTCTTAATTCATAACTCATTAGTAAAATTTGGAGAATTTTTTATTTTGACCTACTTTTCGGACACCATATCTCAAAAGTGGGTCAAAATACTCTCTGACGGCAAAAGGCTTACACTATTAGCCCACTCTTTGCTACCTGTATACAAAATTTTGAAGCAAATCCTAAAAGTGTAGTGCCAGAATCGCAAAAATAAGGAAAAACTATGTATTTGACCTAGATTTTGACCTAGGGATTTTGGTGTCCAAATTTTAAAGCTAGATAGCCTTCGAGGTCCCCTTCTTTTATAGACTTTCAGAATCTTAAGCTGCACTCAGTCTTTATCTGGTATTTTACACATCAAACAAATCTTTTTTCTCATTGACATAACATGGGGCACCAAAATTAGCGATTTTTGAGTTTTCAAAACGCCATAACTTCCGAGCCGGAAGTCGGATCGAAATTTAATTTGCAGATTCGGATTCCTGAGAAAATTCTACTCTTAATCCATAACTCATATGTTAAATTTGGAGAACTTCTTATTTTGACCTACTTTCTGGACGCCATACTTCAAAATCGGTAAGAGAAATCAAAAAACAGATGGCACACTTATGAAAGGGCTGTTTATAAGCTTCATGATGAAAAAAAGATGAAGACGTTTCGATAAATAACGACTCAGATAATAGACAGAAGGTTGAAAATGTAAGATTTGACCTAGTTCTTGACCTTTGACCTAGATAAAAAATTAAACCAATTTCCGAGAAACTAGATACTGAACCCAAATTGACCATATACAGGACTTGACTCAATGTCTTCTAGTTAAGGAGAAAACGTGTTTAGAATAATAATAATAAAGAAAAATACTGGCAAAAACAATAGACTCCAGATTTTTAATCTGGAGTCTAATAAGAAAACTGGCAAAAGCAATAGACTCCAGATTTTCATCTGGAGTCTAATAAGCATTATCACATGTCAACTACTTGTCAAAATTTGGTATAAAAATACTGAATAGAACTTGAGATATTGAATTTATTCATGTATGTAAATAAAATAGTGGTGCCAAAAGGAGCCTATCGTCCTGAAAGGTATTACATAATAGGGCTCCATATGGAGCCTATCGTCGTGAAAGGGTTAATGTATCCACTGAAAGTGGCCTTCAGAACAAACAAACAAAATATATCAGTATATGGATGAAACAAGCCTTTTCTTTTCATTGTTGAGAACCTTTTACAAGGTTTAATACTAGGTATATAAAGTTGATTCTCATTAATCAAGCATGAAAGTTGGTAAAAAATACATTTTGGGCAAAAATGCAGTTCTAAAAAGGTTAAATGTTTTTATTTATTTTATTTTTAGTTTGAACATGAATAAAAAAATTTAGGGTATTATATCTAGTTACATCAATTTCAACAAAATAACAAGGCATTAACATGCAAAATGTCACCACCTGCCACTTGTTACAGACACCGAACACCACCCACCGAACACCACCCACCAAACTCAAAACACCACCTGCCAACACCGTCCAAAAAAAGTTTAAGACTATAACAATATGTCACCAATTTTGATGGTGACATAATGAAAATTAATATCATTGAGATAATGTAGATACGACAAGGAATGATTAGAGTTTGGGGATTTGATTATTATGATTTTTAGAAATGTTTGATTATGTCGGATTATCCTTTAATCATAAAACTTGGTCAAGATGCTAAAATTATGAATTGTCTAAAACCAGAAAAAAACACAAAAACACTTGTGCCAATACTGGCAATACATAATAATGTATATCATTTAAAATAATCTTAATTCAGGAGATATACTCTAAAGTTTGATTAAGTGGAGAAATCATGTGTGCAATTAAATGGAATTAATTGAAATTATAAATACAGTGATCTCCCCAGGATTTTTTCATAGCAGGGGGGGATTTTTTAACAAGTTTCGCCGCTCGCTTCGCTCGCATGATTTTTGTGCCAATTTTGCCGCTCGCTTCGCTCGCTATATAAACACCAATTCTCATTTAGAAAACCTTTTATTTAACAATACATGATAATATGCTTGTAGTGTCATGAGTATTCATTGTTCATTGTGTTTCCTTAAAGTCTTCTGTCCCTACATCTTCTGGGGTGCATGTCAAACCACCTCCCCCATGCTGCCTCAAAATCGAACACCTCTTCCCTTGGTCCATTTATGATAATGTTGAGGACCCTGTCCACTGTTTCTACTTTCATTCTATTCTTTAGATAAGTCTTTTTAATTTTACCCATTTTTTTTTGAGTTTCCCGCATAAAGAACCGGAAGTCGAACTTCTTTATCATGACAACCATCAAAAGCAAGATTTTAACATTAATTCGTTCGCAATTATAATAACTATTAATAAAAAATAATACTTCATTGTCAAATTGTAGTTTTAGTCGTTTTTATGTTTGTTTTATTCCAAATTGGCGATTTTGATGATCGGTGATCATATCACTCCGCGTTGCAGTATAGGGGTAATCTGCGCCAGGTTCAACTGTTAACTTTTTCTAATTTTCTGAACGCACGCATCAAATGAACGATTTTGATAGGTTAGAATGTTTTGGGCGCATGCGCATACGTAGTCAAATCAAGTGATCGAACCGAACCTGGGGCAGATTATGTCGATGACACACGATTAGTAATAGATAATTTGATTGGATATTTCGTAACTAATCATGAGTTTTGAGCCAATCAGAAGACATTTAAGATTCGGCCTTCGGAATGACAAATCGGGAAAAACTTTTTGAAAAATTTTTGAATTTTATGTGATTTCGTCGAATATCCAGGAGAATAAAATAATGTACGTAAGTTTTGAAGTAGCGGGGCGCTAAGCAGGGCGGGCGAAGCAAGCAGGGGGGGAACAGGGCGGGGAAAACGAGTGAGCAGGGGGGAGCGCCATGCAATTAGATTCTGGGGAGAACCCAGAAATATATATCAAAAATTATAGTCAATGTCTTACCTCCGAATGTTCGCAGGGGTCATATGGGGTCGAGGAGATTTAATGGGTGTTTTAGCAAAACTTTTCCTGAGCCTGGGGCTACTTCTGGTGGGAGTCGTGAACTGAACATTCCGTATCGTCTTGTGGGTGGCCTTTGACCTCTTGGTGTGTCTAGGGAGTGGGGCTGGAGTGGCAGTGGGGCTAGGACAGCTACTCTCCCTAAAATAATTATGAGTGAAGTGTTCAAATCTAAATTCTAATCGAGCAGAAGTTAAGCAATTATTGAAGCAGTGTATTCAAAGCTTACCAATAAGAACCAAGCGCTGATTTTTAAAAGTGACATTTCAATGATAACTTTCAGTAGTTTTGTACCAGATTTACATGAAACAAGAATTAAACTGGAAAAATCTACAGATAACTTGCACTTTTGTTAAGATAGGGATTCAAATTTATCAAATTCAACGATGTAAGATAAGACCCTATCATCAGGGGTATCATGTGCTATAATCCCTATGTTTCACATTTTATTCAATTCGAAAACTCATTGTTTTGCTTAGAAGGAGTCTTCACATACCGGTATGTTGTTGCAGAGAAGGAATCATCAGGTGAGATTTCAAATGTATCACGCCTTTTCAGAATTGATTTTCTTGGGTTTTCAGTGTGTTGTAGCAATTCATTGAACTCTGGTTGGACTTCAGTATTTGTCTGAGGAATTGCAGCAGTGGCTTTTGTTCCTATTGGTTCAACTGATTCAGTGACTTCATTATCTGTCTGTTTTGTGTTTTGCTTTTCAATTGCAACTTCCTTTGCTTTGGATTCAATATTGTTTGCTTGTCTGGTAGTAGTGTTACAGTTAGATGTTTTCCCAGACTTTGATAAACTGGACGCTGGTCTTATGTAAAGACTTTGTCTTTCATTAGGCTTTGATTTTTTCGGTTTATTTTCAGTGTCTGATTCAAAATCGAAGACATTAGCCTTCCTGGAGCCTGGTCGTATGTACAAACTTTGTCTGTCAATTAGGCTAATCCTTTTAGGCTCTCTGGCTCTTGTACTCTGATGCACAGCCCCCTTATGTGCCTTGATACCCACACTGCCTACTGCTTGCTTTGTGGCTGATTTAACGCCCACACTGCCAATGGGCTGCTTTGTGGCTGATTTAACACCGACACTGCCTATAGCCTGCTTTGTGGCTGATTTAACACCCATACTGCCAATGGGCTGCTTTGTGGCTGATTTAACACCCATACTGCCAATTGACTGCTTTGTGGTTGATTTAACACTGACACTGCCTATAGGCTGCTTTGTGGCTGTTATAATTCCCACTCTGCTTATGGGTTGCTTATTGGGTTTCATGCTCTTTAATGACGCACCCAAATTGTTCTTTTTCTCCACAGGTTTAACAATTCTTGCAGTTGACACTCCCCTCGTGGAATTTGTTCCCGGAATTTTTCTCTCCAAAACCTTTCCAGCTGTTTTCTTTGGCTCTTTGGGCTCAATTGTTGTAGTGACAGTTTTAGATATGCTAAGACGTCTGCCCGATTTGGCGACAGATTTTTCGATCGTTATGGTCTTTTTGAAGTTTGCACCAGGCACTGCTGCTGAAAATGTGTAGCGTCTTTCATTTAACTGCAGTTTTCTCGAGGACGGGGGAAACTTCTGTGCGTCTTTAGTTTGTACTGCAGTGAAACCTCCGGGAATGTATGTTTTCCTCCTAAAATGAAATAAAAATATTAACAGTACATGTACTGTAGTTATCATATGAGTAAGATTCATAATTTTTTATCACAAAGTATTACACTTTTAAGAGAAAAATAAGTTAAATAACCAGAGATGATACTGTGGCAATACTAACAACACAGTAATTACATGCCGCATTAACATGCAAAATGTCACTACCTGCCATTTGTTACAGACGCTGACTGCCGAACACTAACCACAACCCACAAAAAAAGTTGGAGACAACAATATGTCACCACTTATAATTGCAATCTGAAGGAAAGGACGATTCTCGGTTTGGAGAACAGTCTCCTGGGCTAATAATTTTTTTCATGAAAAATATAGAAATATTACCCAAATTAAACTATGAATATTGAAAAGAGGACATTTAAATCTACAAGATGTAAAAATAACAAATTGGTCTGAAGCAGGGGTAACGCTCAATTAGACCGATTCAATAAAATACAAATCTCGATTTGGGGAAAGAAGTTCATCAGTGTACTGCGCCAATATTTTTTTGCGAAAAATCTAGAAATATTACCCAAATTATATTATAACTATTCAAAAGAAGACATTCAAATCTATATTATGTAGAAAATCAAATTTGTCCGAAGCAGGGATAATGCTCATTTAGATTGATGAACTTCGTTCTCCAAACCGAGAATCGTCCTTTGATTGAAGACACTGGCACCCATTGTAACAGGTTGATTATTTCAAAAACACACAATAACATGTTGTTACCTTTCCAATACAGTAGCTGCTGTCACCTTAGTCTGTGCTGCTTTCTTCATCTTCCATTCTTCCAATTTTTTGCTAAAATAATCAGTGCAAAATATACAGGGCACTTAACATAATATTGCTCTTACATTACAGTGTTCTCGAAAGGATTTTTTCTCAAGTGGCTGCAAAATTCTCGTTTTCACAATTCAGACCAAAATTGATCAAAATATGCCCATTTTTCATGGTTTTTCTCATTTTCAAGTGAGTGCAAATGGATTTTCAGGTGGATGCAAGCCTGTTTTTAAAATCTTAGGTGGTTGCTGCGCCCACTTACTTTAATGCTGGTGAGATCACTGCATATAGTGCACCCACTTGTTACAGATTTCAATGTTCAATGCCAGTCTCAAATAATGGCAGTTATAAGAATTTAGAATATCCTTACAATCCGAGCAGCAGCTATTTTGAGGCTACAAAGACAGTCACTTCAGTTTGCGATTGAATTTTTGCTTTCGACGTTTTTTTGCTTTCGATTTTTTTCATTTTCCATCTAAAAAGCAAGAAAATGTATTTTTCCAAGAACTTGTTTAATCAGGTGATTTAAAGGGAATGCAAAGTTTTGTCCCTTAAACTTGATAATAAGTTAGAATAAAGATATATCTTTCAATCCAACTTAGTTTTATTGTTCTATCATTATCCTTTTAATTGTTATTGAGCCCCGGGTTTTGCATATGAACTGGACCACGGAGCTGCCATTTCAACCGTAAAGTGGTTCTTTACGACATTGTTATGACGTCATTGATGCCAGATTGATGCCTTGGCATTCCAAAAGTTTTGTGGCGCCATTTTTGAATCAAAAAATGAATGCCGAGTTGTTGCCATTCCAAGACCAAAGAAATCATTTCAAAGGAACTAAAAGATTACGTATATACCACCCATAATAAAGAACGATTTCAATAGAATAACGCTGGCATTTTCGGAATTGCTTTTTACCTATCTAGACATGGAATGCGGGTTAGATTTATTCTTTATTTACACTTGAAACAATCTGCGATTCGTTTTTATTAGGTCTAGCGCTAAATGCGAACAGAGAATGCTAATTCTATCAGGCGAATGCAAACTATTTGAATAAAACATAATAAAATTAATTCAACCAACCCATCTTGAATTTCCAAGAATGCAATGGTTTAAATTTGCTAGTCTCATTACAAAAGTACGTATTCGTACTTTAATATTCATTGCATTCATGTTTATCTTTAACACGGGTATTCAAAGAAATTAAAATTTTAAAATTAAATTTTAAAACCGAATCCAATTACTATCGTTGATTCTTAGCCTCACGTCACATTTTTACGGGGACCGTACGGTCTATCATTTCTGTGGTAAGCAGGATGTTTCTGCAGTCAGATAATTTAGCAGTCACATTTGCTAAGATAGCCGTACGGCGTATCTTGATTATGAGGAAAAACTACGATTCCCGTACAGCTGATAAATGATGACGCACGATCAGCGTAGGGCGGCCCTACGACGTGCATTGTTTTTCTTGAAGGCATCCACAAGGGGTTCTATGGTTCGGAAAGGTCAATTGTAACCTATGAAATCCAAGCGCAGCCGCAAGTCGACCGTGAACCCGACGTACGGCCGTCGTGAGACCTACGGTTTGACTGCTGCTTGTTGATATCTATAGTGACCACAGGAAAGAAAAAGTTATAACTCCGACTCTACGCCTGATAAAAACTGATAAGTCGACTGTAGTTTTCCTATGTTTGCCGCAGAAATTTACTGATTTCAGGGAAATACGATCGACGTGTGGTCGCATTGAACAAATGTGACTGAAGCTTTTAAAGTTCCACTTATTTTCCGATATAGAAAAACAAAAGGTTGTATGCCATTAAATTGAAAATCATTATTTCGAAAATACTGTAGAACTGTACTTACCACGGGTGTTATATAATTAAATTCGAGCTCGAAATCAGGAATTGTTTTTAGCAAAAATGATAAATATATAATAAAATAAATATTAAACTATTGGCGTACTATCAATACGGCAATTGCCTTATCGTCGTTGAAATGAAATATCATACTACAATCGACCCCATCGTCTCCCCGCATCACTGAATGTTATGAGCCTTCTCTTGTCATGATCCAAGGTGAAATACCATTGAATTTTGAAAAGCTTTTTTGTCATATCGAATGTCGCTACGTCGGTGATATGATGATTGAAAATGGTCCTTAAGGTTAATAATGATGTGAAATATCAGTGAAATGTGTTCTATTTCTGCGATCCGAGTATGACGTGATTATATAGCGACATTTTCCAGGCATCAATTTTAAGGCATCAATGACGTCATTGATACATAACAATGGCGGCATCCGCAGCGATCCAGATATGGGTACTTTGAACTTGAATTATATGTTAGTTCAAACACGATATGTCCCATGAGTGAGCTGAAGTGATAGATGATGGTTATAAGTAGCCAGCGTGTAAATTAGAACATGAAACTTCGCATTCCCTTTAAACAGATTTGAATGAAGTAATACGACTATGTAAATAACAAACCTCATTTCTGCATTGTCTTTTTCCAATGGTACCTTCTTTGAAGTCGCAAGACTTGTTCGCATCTTTTTAGCGGGTGCATCATTCCTATCCAAAGTTTCAGGTTTTCTTTTTGCATTAACACTTTCCCTGAAAATAAATGCAGGTATAAAATCTTATTTATATTTAAAAGCCATTAACATCACAACAGTATCTTTAAAACTTTTTGTCAACTTGATAAATTTTTTATTATGATATGCATAGGATGTCTAAAACTGGCAAGACTCCTTTTCATAAATTTCCAATAAAATCACATTTGGATGCAAATATAGTAAACATATAGGAAATGGTATTTTTATTTCAAAATATAGCATATTTACCTGAGTGTATTACTCATGGTGTTTCTAGGAACTGTAGCCATGGAAACAGATTGTTTTATGCCTATGGCAACTGGCTTCTTTGTTGCCATGGTTGTTTGTTTATTTGTGTGTTGTCCATTGACATTTCCAAGCGGTTTTCTGTTTTTCGCTTCTTTCTCCTCACGCCATTTCTTTAACTTTTCAAGTCTGTCATTTATCATTTGGCCTGAAAATATAAATACATGACTATGTATAACATTCATTTTATACTTCAGAAATTTATTGGGCAATTCTTCGCACATGTCCAATTTGTGTACTGAAGTGTGATTGATGGTAGCTATTGACAGTTTGTAAAACCTGATTCAATTATCAAAGTTTCTTTCTTCACATTTTCTACTTCATCATTTTAGTTAGAGCATGAGTAAATCCAACACAATATTCTGAAATATGATTACTACAGGGTGGGCCAAAAAAACGCCACTTTTTTTCAAAATGCTATATAACTTTTTTAATTTTTGATGCAAAATCATAATTTGCATAGCAAATGAAACTTGAGGTTGTTATCTAGCCATGAATCATGAATTATACACTTTTACTTGAATAAAATATGTCACCAGTGTCTCACTTAAACATGTGGTGCGCCATGAGAAATAAGCATAATTTGCAAAATGTTCCTGAACTGATATGACCTGATAGCCGCCAAGCTAATAGCCCTGATGCAAACCCCAGTGAGTATAGGGTATGGGAAGGTCTCCAGGAGATGGTATGAAGGCACCCAATCTAAAATATTGCTCAACCAAAGCTGGCAATTAAGACATGGTGAAAAGAATTATGGTAACATTTCATTGATACTGCTATTTCAGCAAGGCGATTAAAACTAAAATCGATCATCAAGTGGCGTGGCAGACCAATTGAACTCCTCTTTTAGATCAAATATAATCTCAGTTGAAGGACTTGTTACATTATATTATTACTTAGAACCCTTGGCACTATATAACTGCAAAATTTAGGGTATGTAGGTTGGAAAATAAAAAAAAGTTGGTGTCTTGAAAAAAAAGTGGCGTTTTTTTGGCCCACCCTGTATAAGCGATATATGATATAACAGAAATAGAGCTACTGAAATCAGAAACAAATCTATGAGACAATTCTGCCTGCACTCTGCCTTTCTGTCGGTGCATTGATTCATTGTACAGAGTTCCTCGTTTTAGTGGGCATTGGGTCCCTAGCTGTGATATCTCGCAAATTTTCATATATATGTCTTGTTTTCTCGCCAGTTCCTTCCTTATTTTCAACCATACTTTTCCAAATGGATGCCTATTACAATCCTCATTCAATGCGTCAAAATATTTTGCCATTAAACGCAGCAGTTTTGAAAACACTCTCACATTAAAAATTTATCAATACGTCCCATTGTCTTCCACTGCGCCCCGTCGTTTCTATGCATGGCATATGATATATGTAACGTTTTACTCGTTTCATATGACTTGCCTTTGCCTATGAATTTATGACATCATCTGAAAGAAGTTTATACCTGTCAGTGGATCTTTTCGGTTCATTTAACATTAATTATTAAGGAAGAAGTCTTGCTCCAAGATTGTGTAGACTTGCTACGTGAAAATAAAATTAAGATAACATTAATCATCAACATCTTAAAAATTATATTCAATGTTTCCGATTGAAGAACGTCAGAATTTGGTGTTTTTATTTATTTGTGGCAACTACACTGGTCAGTATCACAGTTCAACGATATTTTCGACCGCTTAAGGGAACGTTACGGGGATTTCGGTTTCATGACAATTCCCACATTGTACATTTCCAGTTACTTTCCCTTAAATAGTGGAAGATAATCAAGATATCGTTGAACTGTGGCGCCATTGCATTCGTTCAACTTCACCTCTTAAAAGAGAGCTTTGTCTTATAGTTTATAACTGGACGTCAACTATAAAGTAGCTTAATTCGATGAAAACTAAAAATACAGAAATCGACGACTTTTTGAGCATACAACTGAAGTCCATATTATAGACGTATTGAAATTCAGTCTTGCGATATATCACAGGAAGTTGTATTAGATACAGCTCGAAAATAACATTTTGTACCAGAAAATAACATGTGCACTGTGCAGGTAAATTTATAGCAATTTTTTACTTTCAAGCTGAACCTTAGTTCAACAAGTTAAACCTAGTCTGGGCCTTATTTCTTATCTGACATATCTTGTGGCCCGCCCTAGGTTTAACATCCATGCCTATTCGGCCCTTGATGCAAAAAATGTAATGGTGGCCTATAGCAGCACATAGATTTTATGCGCGTTTTATTAATAACTGATAGTGAGATTTGCAACCATGAAAGCATAGCACGGAATTTAAATACAACCATGGCAACAAGAACACTCAGATTAATAAATGAAAGCCGAGGTATTGGGTTTAACTTGTTGAACTAGCTGAACCTTAGTCCTTTTTGGGCCTTACGGAGCCCTTTGCCCTTCCCCACTCTCAGAACAGATGCATTCCGGGCAAAAAAGCTCACATGCTATCTATTGCAAGACTTACGCCTGCCACAACCGTCGCCATGTTAATCAGTGTTTTTAAGTTGCGCAAGGATCCTGCCATGACCGTGGTAGTGTTATCGTGTAAGCCTGGTATAACCGTGACAGGCTGGTATAACCGTGACAATGCTGTATTATATTGCAAGGCCTGTCATGACCCTGGAAGTTTTATCTTGGAAGCCTGGCGCGACAGTAGCTTTTATTGTGGTTTATAAGCGAATGTGAATATAAGTGTTAGTAGTAATTTTGATTTTGACATGATTAAGGTAGTTAAACACCATGATCATAGTATTAAACTGTTTAATTGTAATGACGATCACTTAAAATTGTTAAGGATATTCCTGGCATTAATGTCATACATATTTACTAGTCATTGCAATACATTATAACGGTCATAGTAGGACTAAGCCTAAATTTCTACATTACCACCCTCATACCCGAACTTGGAATACTAGGGCGAAGGGGTGTAACGTCGACACCGTTTTGGGGTAACTTCGACATGTGGGGTAACTTCGACACCTTGTTGTTTATTTGCTCTAATTTCCGATCTAGGGGGAAGCCATGTTTTTTTTCTCGCATGGATCGAGATCTCGCGAGATTTAAATTTTTCCAGAAATCAAACATGGCGGAAAACGGAAATTCTACTTCTAATACGTAAGTGTCGAAGTTACCCCGTCCATTATGTCGACATTACCCCACACGTCGACATTACACCCCTTCGCCCTATATCACATTGCCACGGCGGTCATACCAAGCCTTGCAATACTACATTACATTGTCACGGCCATGCCAAGCCTTGCAATATAATACAGCATTGTCGCGGTTATACCAGGCTTTCACAATAACATTACCACAGTCATGGCAGGATCCTTGCGCTACTTAAAAACACTGAATAACATGGTGACTGTTACGCCAGGCGTCTAGTCTTGCAACAGATAGGGTCTCAAAAAGCTCTGTTCGGCCCAAAGAGGATTTTATACAACTTCCTGTGATATAGCACAGGCCCCAGTATCCCCACACTGAAAGCAAAGCAAGCAGCTAAAATGTGGCGATACTGGTGCCTGTGATATATAGCATGTGATTGTGAAATCCACTTTCAATTTCATTGAATTTGAAAACAGAAATGAGAAAAGATTGAAAATTTTTATTTTCATTTTTCAATAAAAATTAGTAATTTCAGCGATAGTTTCCTCCTCAGTTTAATATTAATTGTCATCTTTGTATATAAAGTGACATACTTACCACCTTTAAGTGCTGCAACTTTTGTATTATTAGCCATATTCAACGCATTATTTGTAGAGCCTTTGCCTGATGTTTGTTTCGTCGAAACCTCCATTTTGAAATTTCCTCCAATTCAAAAATACTGCAATCTGATTGGCTAAAAGTTTGAGAGGGACCAATCATTGTTGTTTGAAAGTTTTTCAGGACATGCCAGGAAAATTTCTGACGGGGATGTGGTATTTGATATATAATAATTTGTATGGAATATATAGATGTTATGAGAGGGTTATGTGAGCTGGGAAAAGTCTACTCATTATGGAAATACCCCCATTGAATTTCAAGGCAGCCATTAGATTATTCAGCTCATGGTACAGGGTGCGCCAAAAAGTTCATATTGTACACTAGGCCCGTAGCCAGATTGTGAGTCTCACAGTACACCGTTTTTCTTCATACTTATTCCATTAAAACCTTCACAGAAATACCTTTCAGTCGAGACATTGCTTTTGTTTACAAAGTCCCTCGTTTCAGCGGCGTTTTGGTCCCCAGATGTAAGAAGTTCCAAATCCTCAGAGATTTCAACCACAATCCTTGATATCTCGCCAGTTCTTCTATCACTCTCCTCCATATTCTGCGCAAGGACTCCCAAAACAACCCCCAATCGCTGCATCAACATATTTATTACATGAAACGCAGCAATTTTGAAAAGTCCTACGCAACTGATCGAAATTGACCAAAACGCCCCGTTGTCTTCCAAAACGCCCTGCAGAGTCTATGACTACAAACGTGTACACGTAGATCCAACGGCGTTTTGGAAGAGATCGAACGGGGCGTTTTGATCAATTTCGAACACATGCGTAGGACTTTTGGACTGAAAATTGCTGAGTTTAATGTAATAAATATGTTGATGCAGAGATGGAGAGTTGTAATGGGAGTCCTATAAATATAGGGGAGAATAATAAAAGAACTGGCGATATATCGAGGCTCGACCAAAAGGTATCAATCTGTGAAGGTTTTAATGGAACAAGTTTGAAGAAAAACAGTTAACTGTGAGACTCACAATCATCGATTTTTCAAAGAAAGGGTAGGTTTGAAATTCAAATTAACGGTTTTGCGGGGCGTTTTGGTTTCGATACGCCACGATGAGTTAGTACCGCGTGATAAGGTATCCGTGTGAAAAGTCAACGCCGAACGAAATCGAAATGCGATTGTTTTTTTCGGCGTTCGTTTCCTCGATTGCCTATGGAAAAGATGCTAATTCCCTTTTTGGTGTTGGGGCAATTTGCAAAGAAAATCTTCGGTAATCTCCGGCTTTTCTTGAGGTATCTTCGGTTGCAAGCCAAAAGTCGACACCCAATCTGCGCGAGATTTGGTTTTTACCTGGTTCGGTTTTTCATTCAAGTAAAGGAAGTACTTCATTCCCATGATTCAAAGTGCTTTCTGCCATTGGTTCGGTTTAAGTTTGTCGTACAACACACGTCTCGGCAAATCCGGGGCAAGTAGGCCTAGATATTAGCCCAATCTACACTACGCGCAGCATTCCACGACGTTTTGGCTAAAACGTTTTAGAAAACGTAAAGGCTAGAGTACCGACAATTGTCGGTACTCTAGACTCTGATGTGGTGGCACGCTAGAGGACCGACAAATAAATTGTCGGTACGGGAGATATGCTGTGTTTACACGCTAGAGGACCGACAAATATTGATTTTCGAATTTTCTGGCGCATGCGCAATGCGCGGGGGGATATTTCAGATATCATACGGATATTTCGGGAACAAGTGCAAAACCCGGGGAGGGCATTAGCCCCGGTAACCCGGGGATTACCAAACCCAGTCAAAAAATGGTAGCCCGGGAACGGGGAATGGTAGTAAACGTTGAAAACCCAATAAAAAACATAAACAAGTAAGACGTTAGAGAGCTATTAATGCAGAGTAAACGGCTATATATATTCTAAACAGACAGGATATTTCTCCTGAGCCGATCAGGCGTAGAAAGGGGCGTTTGCTACCCATTAGATAGAAGAAAATAGCTAGAATGTATTTATTTGAAGCTTATGGTATGAGGTTCCATATCCATCCGCCAAAAACCTGTGGTATCATACTAAATAACCCATAGTTGGCTTCTAGGGTACCTAGTATGCCACTATTTGGTATCAAAATAAAGAGGAGTTCAACTTTCATTTGAATTACGAAAATAGCGATGTAAGTGAAAATAGTTCCGAACGTGAGCATGTTTACTACGCGTTTGCCCGTCATATCAGAATTGAGGAAGTGGTAGCAAACGCAAGTTACAATAAACGGACGCTGATATCTCAAAAAGTAACCTGACTCCCTATAATTTGATGTAGGTCAATCGAACCCCTATATGGACAGGTGCATTTTGATATATAACACTATGGGGGGTAAGCGTTTCATAGTTGGTCACGAACGCCATGTGTGCAAAGTATTGTTATGAATTTTCGAATTTGGTGTTGGATTACGGTACTCATACCTTATAGCACAATTTTTGATGGAAGTTGCATTTGGCTCCCTTAGTTAATGGCCACGATTCCATCTCCCATGAGAGAGCTACCAAACGCAAAGTAAACAGTGATATATTCCAAATGAGATATTTCTCCTGTGCCATGGCGTAGTAAGGGTAGAGAGCGACGGGGGCGAAAGTATCCCCTCCCCTAACTGTATATATCGACCATTAGATAGAATAAGAAAAGAGCTTTAAAATGTTTTTTAATTGAAGCTTGTAGGACAATTTTGATGGAAGTTGAATCAATTTTTGTCGAAATAAATTATGGCTCACTACAAGTTAATGCCTGTGCGATTCCATACTGCAAAAGAAGCACTATGCCCCCCCCCCTCAAAAGAAAAAAGTGGGTCCTGCCGGGATTCGAACTCGGGACCGAGTGTGTTCGAGTCCTGCTCCCTAACCACTAGGCTACCAGTGATGAGGTTATTTCGATAGTAAAAATAGTGGATCTATTCATGAAATTTTCGGCTCTCTAGCAAAAACACGTAGCAGCCACTTGCGTACCGACAATTGTCGGTTCTCTATCTGGCACTACTAGGTGACGATAGAGTGCCGACAATTGTCGGGACCCCAGCAAATACCCCTGGACAGTCTCCAGTACCGAAAATTGTCGGTCCTGGAGCCACTCCGTTGAACCTAATTTGAATTTACATTACCATTTTCAAGACGTCTTAGGAAATAAGATCGAGTTTACACCTGTTTTCCTAAAACAGGTGTAAAATGAAAAAAGCAGTTCAGTACTGGTTGAAGGACGGTTCAGTCAATAGGGAGTTTAAGATTAGCGTAAATAGGGAGTTTAAGATTAGCGTAAATAACCCACTTACCTATACCTATACGTAGTTTGTTATTACACTAAGCGGTATTTTACCTAAGTTACAGGGTTTACGATACGTAATTACCTATAAATGGCCGAAGATAGGTAATTCGAAAACGTATGTTTTTATCAAACAAATTGTGTCATTTCTAGATCAAATATCATCCATTAAACTTTAAAATAGTAACACCAAACATTTCTCATTCGATCTGCATAGAAATTAAGTGGTCGAACACATTCATTGATGCGATAAACGATGCCATGTGATGATGCATGAAATTGTTGAATTTACAAATTCTTCATCAGTTTTGCTTATTGTAAATGTATGAAATCAGCCATTTTCTCGTGGTTTTAATTATTTAACTTTATTATTTGGCCACTCTCATTGCTAGATCATGCTAGAAATTTAACATTTCGGCTTAAGTCACTGCCCCATTAGCGGACCCTCAAGCATCACCCCCTCCCAACTACAGTAGCTACACCAAACACTCTCTGAAGTATATAACAATTCTTGGAGGTGACATGTACTGGTATATGCTATATAAGCCATCGCATGGTTTTTATTCTATGATTAGGAGTTAATTTTATCATAAATTGTAGCATACGGTTTCGTAGGCTTTTACGTTAATCTTAAACTCATTTTGCAATACGCATTACCTATACGTATCCGTAACAAACATACGGATAGGGATAGGTACACGTATATTTCTACGCTAATCTTAACCTCCCCAATAACCCATTTACCTATACGTAGTTTGTTATTACACTAAGCAGTATTTTACCTAAGTTATAAGGTTTACGATACGTATTAGGCCTACCTATAAATGGCCGAAGATGGGTAATTCGAAAATGTATGTTTTTTTCAAACAATTATGTCATTACAAGATCAAATATCATCCATTAAACTTTAAAATAGTAACAACAAACATTTCTCATTCGATCTGCATAGAAAATAAGTGGTCGAACACATTCATTGATGCGATAAACGATGCCATGTGATGATGCATGAAATTGTTGAATTTACAAATTCTTCATCAGTTTTGCTTATTGTAAATGTATGAAATCAGCCATTTTCTCGTGGTTTTAATTATTTAACTTTATTATTTGGCCACTCTCATTGCTAGATCATGCTAGAAATTTAACATTTCGGCTTAAGTCACTGCCCCATTAGCGGACCCTCAAGCATCACCCCCTCCCAACTACAGTAGCTACACCAAACACTCTCTGAAGTATATAACAATTCTTGGAGGTGACATGTACTGGTATATGCTATATAAGCCATCGCATGGTTTTTATTCTATGATTAGGAGTTAATTTTATCATAAATTGTAGCATACGGTTTCGTAGGCTTTTACGTTAATCTTAAACTCATTTTGCAATACGCATTACCTATACGTATCCGTAACAAACATACGGATAGGGATAGGTACACGTATATTTCTACGCTAATCTTAACCTCCCCAATAACCCATTTACCTATACGTAGTTTGTTATTACACTAAGCAGTATTTTACCTAAGTTATAAGGTTTACGATACGTATTAGGCCTACCTATAAATGGCCGAAGATGGGTAATTCGAAAATGTATGTTTTTTTCAAACAATTATGTCATTACAAGATCAAATATCATCCATTAAACTTTAAAATAGTAACAACAAACATTTCTCATTCGATCTGCATAGAAATTCTCGAAATCGTTGTTCCCTCTTCAAAAGAGGAGACGCGAAAATCTTTCCTTATAAGGTCAAAATATTTCCCATGATGCAGTTCGCGGAGGAACAAATTTATACTTCCTTGTTTTCCCTCATAGGTTTAACATGGGGATTTTCTAACCTATTTTTCAAACGATATATTCGTTTATATTCCCGTACGAGAGTACAGAAAAAATAATTAGAAACGATTGGTCTCTTATTAATCTTAATATAACAGCTATTTTTTTCATTGTATTGATTCATAGCGTGGTGAAAACGATGATTGAAAAGTGAGAAGATATTCCGGAAGAGAAGGTCACGTGATCAGTTGACTAGTCGCCATTTTGGAAAAAACAATTCCATTCGACTTTCAATACTTTCCTGCCAATCTTACCGCACTACAAACTGCAACATCGATGCAACAACTGAATAAAAGTATTCATCTTCAAATTACATTATAGAGTTACGTTGAAAACCCACAAACAACTGAGCAGTAGACCAAAGAAGACGCGTCGCTATTATCTAGGTCAATCTGTTCAGTGGTCCGAAAGCAAATCTATAATACTCGTTTCCGAATTGTGTTGGTCATTGTACAATCTTTTATTAATTAAACTCGGTATACTGACTATTAAAGCAATGACAACGAAGAATACTTCCGATGGTGTCATTGTTTTATTTAGCGTGCGGGTGTAAAAACAAAATTGCGTAATTAGTTTGATTTAGAACTTTCGTGTCACGCAAATAGCTACGCGAAATGCATAGTGGGAAAATATTGACCAATCAAATGTTGTCCTTTTTGAGTGCTTTTTCAGTACATATTTGCGAACGTTCTGATTCAAAGAGCGAACCGCGAAAGGGAGAATTAAGTGGTCGAACACATTCATTGATGCCATGTCATGATGCATGAAATTGTTGAATTTACACATTCTTCATCAGTTTTGCTTAATGTTATAAATGTATGAAATCAGCCATTTTCTCGTGGTTTTAATTGTTTAACTTTACTATTTGGTCACTCTCATTGCTGGATCATGCTAGAAATTTAACTTTCTCGTTGAGTGACTGCCCCATTAGCGGGCCCACACGCAACATCCCCTCCCAACTACAGTAGCTACACCACACTATCTCTAAAGTATATAACAGTTCTTGGAGGTGGCATGTACTGGTATTAGTGTTGTCGCGATGTGCCATAATCGTACATCGATGCATCGGCAATTTTCAGTAGTAAACATCGATGCACATCGCGATGTACATCGAGAAAAAGTTCGAGAAAAGTGCACTGAAATACCGAACGCTAATGCACTAAAATACCGAACAGAACAAATTAATAAGAGTACGCTGGTACATCCGGGAACTTCTAGTAACTGTGAAATGAAAGTAAAGTACAATTTTTTAGATTAATGGTTCATTTCGACTAGCTAAAACAGTTTTAAAGCGAAAGAATATCAGAAAACATTTGAAAATGAAATAAGACATGAAAAAATGTAAGCAAATTGCGTCAAAATAAGATAAGAAAGGGCGATTTTTAGCAAATTAAATTTTTTTTAAAACATCAATGTTTTGTTTCAGACATCGGATGCATCGCCAGAACCAGCTTTGGCGATGTATATCGCGATGTATCGATTAATCGCGACAACACTAACTGGTATATGCCATATAAGCCATCTCATGGTTTTCATTCTATATAGGGTGTTAATTTTATCATAAGATTGTAGCATTCGGTTTCGTAGCCCTTTACGTTAATCTTAAACTCACTTTTGCAATACGCATTACCTATACGTATCCGTGACAAACATACGCCGCTAATCTTAACCTCTCTATTATAGCTATTCCTTTCCCGATTCTACACTTTGTACCCGACTTTGTACTAAAGAATGCATCGGTTTCAGAAAAAAGCGTGAAAGAGAGCAGGAAGATTTTATGCATAAATTAGGATTATGATAAATCGCCAGGCTAATAAGTTCTCCTCAATAATTTTGGGATGATATTGGGAACAAGGGATAAGACAAAATAAAGGACCATGCGACATATGTAAAAATCTGGATTTACATTAAGCCTACATTTGTAAAACGTTTAAATGCGTCTGTAGCGCGCTAGTGTAAATCCAACAATTATGTCATAACATTTGTTTTGGGTACTTTTTGTTTTGACACTAAACAAATATTCCTGCAATATATGGTCATTTCATTAAGGGACTGTTGTGAAATAGTGAACGCACGTCACGTGACAATTATCTCAAATTAAATCAGTGTTTTTATTAAGTTATCAGATCTAGGATGATCAGACCAGATCAGATCTAGCGAGCAGCCTAACAAAAATGCAAAAACCGAACCAAAAATTGGAATCTCGCGCAGATTGCCTCCAGTGCTTTTTGCAATCTCCGAGCCTTTCGTTCAGTGCAAATCCGTGCTTTAGTGAAGGTACGCAACGAACGAAATGAATTTTGAGAATGACTTTTTGGAAGTTTTAAGCAGAAATATTTTCGCTTGACGATAATCGGGTAAAATGCATATTTGCGTTCTGTCACGCAAAAAAAACTAGCGTGACTTCAACTTTTCTGGCAAATGCATGACAAATTGCGGGACAGTTGGACGGCCTGAATAATACATGCTCCCATGTCGAATTCTCAAGAATTTGTGCTATGCTCCTTATAATTTCGCGCCATTTCTAATTCAACCAATCAGATTGTTCATTGGAAAAACACGTGATCACAATCTGATATGGAGGAAACTTGGTGAGAATTTATCCCATTTATTTTAAACATTTCTCTTGATATAATAGCCCTAAAGATTAATTGTCTTCATGTTCATAAAGAAGAAACCATGGGCTTCATGTACATATGAATCATTGGATATTTTTCTGGAAGTATTGAAGTTGTAATTTTACAAACTTTCTGGCCGACAGTCAAAAAATCAATTTTTACTTTCATGCTTTAGAAAAAGTTCAAATGCCTCAATCGAATCATTTGGTCTACTTACTCATATTTATATGACTTATTTTTTTAAGTGAAATGTTTGCCTATTCGCCAAGTCAGTCGGCAGATTCTTGAAATTGGATCCATAGGCAGTAAGAAACTCAGTCATTTTCCTTAGAAAAGCCTCTCCCCATCCACAGTCAGCACCATCTATCTAATATAATAGAATGAAGTCCGGTAACTTAGAAAAAAGAAAATTCTAAATAATTTTTATCGCACCCTAAGGTGCTAAATTGTAATTAGTTTGGTGGGTGGTCGTCCCGAATAATCTTGTCTACAGCAAGGAGGATTGGCTCCCAGAATCGAAGTCGATATTTTCCAACAATGAAAACGCCGAGATGTCGTTATTTTCTGAAATTATAACCGATTATAAATTCAAAATAAACAGTTCAAAAGATTCGAACCAATATCTCAATCATTTCCTGTGAGTTTTGGAATTTTTCGTTAGGAAATAAGACCAAAATTTACGATTCAAATGTTGAAGTGAACAAAATGGCGGCTGTTGGAATTCAAATTTTGTAGCACGACATGGCCATATATGGGACAGAATATCGATGTTGCACTCTGGGAGCCAATCCTCCTTGTGTCTACAGGTTTCCAGCCAAATCGTTTGAGGGATTCATTTGAAATTCTCAGGGATGTTTTGATTAGTTTTTCGGCATTCTGGGTAAATGTTAAGGTGGCCATTTTGGATTTTCCCTCCCAAAATCTTGTCTGTCAAGGCTTGTCTACAGGTTTCCAGCCAAACCGTTTGAGGGATTCATTTGAAATTCTCAGGGATGTTTCTACCTATGAAAGTTTAGAAATTAGTTTTTCGGCATTCTGGGTAAATGTTAGGTAACTTATAACTTAAGGTGACTGTTAACTTAATGGCCGAAACCAGGAAGCACATGGCATTTGAGTATAATCTGACCATCAAAATTAACTGTCTTTTGGTTGGATTTTCTCTCAATTTTTTAGTTCCACTTATCATTTATATAACCAGGCTCACTGTGGTAATGCAAATAGAAACAGTAAACATTTTGAAATGGGAATTTGAGTCCTCTGAAAATGTGACAGAAAAATTGACAAAAAGAGTAGCACGGCAAAGGTCCCTATTTCTCTGAAACATCCCTTTAATATAGCCCAAAATGGAAGGAGCTTTAGAATTTTGAAATCTCTCATACAAATTAAAAAAAATAGAAACAAACAATTTGAGAAGTGTACTTTTTTCCTTATTTTGATCCCAATTTTTTTATTGGGTAATTTTTCAAATTTCCGTTGCTCCTTTGTTTTTGATATATGTTTGAAGTATATTTTCTGAAATGTTCAGATATTTTGAATAAGCGGTTTTTCACGGGCTACTCCTAGAAAAAAATCTTCTCAAATTCTTTAAACGGCACTTTTTTCTCAAACTAAAGTTTTTTGTTGTTCTTTGATGTCTTTGTAATGATAACAGTGCACAAGCATATGTGAAATAATAAAAAGGACTTCTCAGGAAGAGTTTGAAAATTTTTCAATTTTTTCTGAAAATCGATTAAGGTGACTGTTAACTTAATCTTGTTATCTTTGTTCAAAAAATGTATAAAAATGCAAATTTTTTTGTCACTTCCTGTTTCGTCATTTCCTGTTAACTTCCATGGCACCTTTTTCGGCATTCTGGGTAAATGTTAAGGCGGCCATTTTGGATTTTCCGTCCTAAAATCTTGTCTGCTGTGTTCGCGTTAACGCCGTTTTTCGCGTTTTTTACGCAGTTAATTTCATCTTCACGCAAAACTGCAACACATCTTACGTATCGTGTACGCAAAAATCATATCCCCCAAATGTACCGATGAAATAATACCAATGAAACAACCAAAAAACAAAAATTAAAAACTAAGCACGCTCTCTAACAGCGTAACATAACGATCAATCTGATTCGTGCATAATATTTGTCTTCCGGTTATTAAGCCAATCAAAATTCTTGTAGCAAACGTATGCGGCCAAACAGGGTATAGCTGCAGAATTTTTTCCGCAGGACCGTTCGTGTGAATTGATCGCTTATTTTATAATCTGCACTGTACAGCCGTGAGGAATCAACTTGTTCATGGTAAATGGAGATAATCAACCCTAATATAGATGGTCACCATGTTAGATTCTTTTTAAATATTTCGAATGGCCACTTGAATCGGGGGGACTGCATTCAAATAACCACGGCTATTTGATGCCTACCGACTGCAGCAATCTGATGCAAGCACCATACCCGGATGTCATAAGGGGATTCCCCGTCCATAGCCAACCCGCCGATGAAAAAACGATAATTTCTTCGTTCTGTGCCGATGAACTTTTTTGATCGGGGATTCAATAACATAAAAAGAATCCTAAAACACTCAGGAATTTATTGAGGCGGGTTATTTGTGTAAAACTCGCGTCAAAAATTGATAATAATAAGTGCCGTTCCACATCACCACACTTCAGTGTGGGCGTGGCACATCGAGAAGGCTACAGATGTTCATGACTCCTTGATTTATGTTTTTTCATGATATTAGAATTTGAGCTACAGTTTTGTCTCGAGAGGTAAATTCTAACAATATTGGGGTGTTTGGGAGAGGGAGATTCCATGGATGGTACCTTAGCCATGGAAGGTAAGTTACAGGGACTTTGTGGAGGCCTCAGAAGAAGGTAAACAGGAATGACTTGCAATGCATGAGTACATGCGGGGACATAAACAATTTTTTTTACCACAAAAGCCCGCTGAAGCGATTTTCAAAAAGTACCCCAAAATAATTATTTGTACCCCATTTTTTGAAGTGACCTGGGTATGAAGTACTCGAAATTACTAAGGCCTAGCGCAATCACTGGTCTGTCATGGCTTGTCTACAGGTTTCCAGCCAAACCGTTTGAGGGATTCATTTGAAATTCTCAGAGATGTTTCTACCTATGAAAGTTCAAAACTGATTAGTTTTTGGGCATTCTGGGTAAATGTTAAGGTGGCCATTTTGGATTTTCCGTCCTAAAATCTTTCTGTCAAGGCTTGTCTACAGGTTTCTGTGAAACCCATTCTAAAAATCATTTTTTCCCTTCCACCAGTTTTTAGCGGGGCATTTAAAATTGGTACCACCAAATATTTTTCTGTATAGCAATAATTTGGCTAGGCAATCAAAATTCCCTCTCGCCAAGCTTTGACACTTATTTTTCATCCTTGAAAGAAGTTTCAGGGTGCTCACAAGGATTTCATTTGAGCACAGAGCTCTTAAATGCCAGAGGGGGCAGGGATCTGGGGTAATTAAAAAAAATCCTGCCCTCTCAGATTCATTCTCCGGGAATTTTTTAGAATTTTTAGTTTACAATAAAAGGGAATTGCTTGCAATTATTCAAAAGAAACACTGAACTGAGAATCTTGAAAAAATGTTATAATTAATCATCTGAAAATGGCGGACAGGGATTTTGCATTGTAAATTCAGCATGAAATCAATGATTATCTGTGTAGTTTAATACATGTTTAAAGGAACAAATTCCTGGCCAGCCATTTCTATCCTAATATGATAGCTATAATCATACGTATATTAAGCCTGCACATCGCTCCAAAATGCAATATGTTGACAGATATTGTTTTTACATTTTCAAGCTCTAATATAAAGTTTCTGTAAATAAAAATTGTTTCTCCAGCGTAATATCAAAGAACAATCGTTTAGTTAAAAAAAAATGAGGGCAGGTTTCGAATCCGCGCTGCCTGTGTGCTGAGCGAGAACTTGTTATAAATATAAGAGTAATTAAGTGCTACTTATGTTGAATGCTATTATTCGGAAGTGACGTCACATTCTTAATTTAGAAGCCTTCCAAAAATCATATCTTTGTTGACAATCGAAGCAATTCAATGAACTGTCTTTGTAATGACACATGTATCGTGAGTATTTGTATAATATCCCAGATGCGAGTAGATGTAACCTTGATTTACGTCATTAAACATTCACAATTCAGTCAAACTGATGTCATATTTGGAATCTACATGTAAAATTACATTTAGAAATGTGGTTTTGAAAAGAGTTTATCAACTTTTAAAATTTTATTTTCTTTGAAAATGTGACTTCTAGGTCGGGGAGATTCCCCATACGACCCAATGTTGTAAAACCACAAAAAGTGAAATATCTTTTCTTGTGTTAGGCAGATAACATTTTATTTTACTGGACATATTTTAATTTGTATAACTATCAGATACATAAGGGTAATATGAAAAGTGAACCACCAAAAACTGATGCATATTCAGGTTTAAGGGAATTTTGTAATACCCTGCCATGTTAATTCCCCCGAATCAGCCACCTGGTGGCGAAACTGGCAACTACCTACTCGCATCTGAGTAATTTGCCCCATTTGTTCATCATTCTATAATCTTTCATTAAGCTCAAAATGATAAAGTTCACCCCCGAAACAACCCAAGATTGCGTTTTGGAGCGATGTGCACGCTTAACCTTTCATATTTAGCAAAACACAGGAAAATGTTTTAATATAGTCAATATTCATTTAAAAAAATGTGGTACAGTATTATCAAATTAGGAGAGATGTTTTGGCAAGGAATATACCTTTAAGCCTTTAAAGCTCACACGGTGAGCTATTGCAATCACTCACTTGTCCATCTGTCGGTCCGTCCGTCTGTCTGTCTGCCATCTGTCGATCCGTCCGTCTGTCAGTCTGCTGTCTGTCGGGCCGTCCGACTCCTGGTTCAAAAGCTCACCTATTTTCAAAATG